TTGTACTTTACCCTATAAAACCTCATGTGCACATCTTGAAGGTGCTCAGAGCTTCGGAGCAGAAGCCCCTCTGAGCCCGCCAGCGTAATACATCTGAGTACTCCAACCCTCCGAGTGGTGCTTGTTTCTTGACTGGCCTGTCATTTCCGTAACAATATGACACTAATCAATTTTTTAAAAATCCTTACATTAAATATTCTAGCTGTAGTTGTAACACCTTTTGAGATACATGGATAAAAGTATATATTTGCAATATAAAATTGATTTAGAATATTGCTAATAGAATTATTTGCAATAATAGCTCTGATATTATGTCTTTAACATTAAACAGCTAAACCGAAGTTGGACCCAGAGGATTTAACAACGTATGCAATATTACGTAGAAACACACAAACTGATCTTTAAGTGGGAATTCATACCGTCATAAATCCATCCAGCAAACCTGAATCGGGTTTCGGAGGTGCCTGCAGCCGTTCCATCGACCACTTTTCAATGATGGAGGAGACTTGTGTGTTTTCTGTATTTAATATTCTGAACCCTGTCATGTTAACGCCACTGTATCGGTAGGGCTCAACATCAAGAGCAAAGAGATCCTAAAAGACAAATTTCTTTGTGTTATTATGAACAGAGAATATCCACAATAAAGTATAAATGAAATAGTAGTGTGTTCTTGCTTCCCTTAGGATCGTCAACACCACCATGTCTCAAGTGATGTTAAACATCACAAATCATCAAGATTTAAATAGACTACCCTCATGTTTTGCCAATGCAAATATATATATATGTATGTATATGTATTATATAAACATGTATGTATCTATATTATTCCAATTCTACCAATGGGACAACAGGCTTTTCCATAACCTACCTTTAAGGTTTGCATAAGTTTTCTCCCCTATGTTAAGGATAGCTTGCCCTTAAATTTTATGTATTACTGTTTTACATTTAACTGACTATAGGTGTTTTTCTATGTCCTGCTTCTTTGATTAGTTATTGTCTTTTTCTGTTTGTTTGTTTTGTTGGTCTTTTTTTTTTTGAGATAGATCATGAAATATGACTTCTAACTAATGAAAATTATATAAAAGATGAGGAAGAAATTTAACAAGACTGGCCTTACTGATTACAGAACACTTGCAGTTCTTTTGTCTTATACCCTATCCAGCAACTTCACCATAAGGACCCCTTTAGATTTTGGCTGCCCTTTCCACTCTGTATAGAGCGAATACTCTGGCTTTGCCCTTTCGTTTTCCTAGGAGATAGGAGGCCAAAGCTGTCAGGGAATCAGAGGTCTATGAGAACATGCAACATGTGGGACTTCTGCCTTCTTTCATGCTGGCATTAGCTAATCCCTAGCTAATCCCCAGACCTTACAGATAACACTGAGAACCAGGGCAGGACCAATACCACTGGTCCTGGGCACAGCCTGCCTTGGACTCACAGAGCTGCAAAGAGACAAAAGAGGATTAAAATTAAGTGGAGGGCTGCTGATGCTGGCCTATGCTCTGCTCTGTGCTGTGAGGAATATAAGGGACTTTCAGGTTTTTACTTTTCAACATTTGCAATCTAGCCAAGGAGAGTAATAGATATATATCTCCTTGGCTAGATTTTATATATATATATATATATATGTAAATGTACAATGGTAAGTGAATAATGTATTGCAATATATGCTAAGGGGCAAAAGAGTAGAAGCAGTAAGTGCAAGGAGTCAGAAGCAAGACAGATGATCTTCAATTTTTATAGTCAGGAACAACTTCATAGAGCAGATGGGGTCTGAGCTGCCATTAAAGGATGGTTTGGCTTTTTCTTGATAGGCAAAAGGCAAAAGGAGGCCAAAGTGTCAGTAGAGACACGAAAAACAGAAAATATAAAACTTATTCAGGCGACTTATCTAGATCAGCTTGGTTATAAAAAAGAATTCATGGAAGAGAATGACAGCTCAAGAAAACAGGAAAGTTATGTTAGAATTAAACAAAAAAGGCCTTCAATTATAGGCCAATGAGTTCTATAGATGCTAAACTAGATTTTTTTCATTTTTTTCCTTATTAAGAGATACACTTAATTTTCCTAAAATCTTATGATTATGGAAGAACTGAGTTGCAACAGCATTGAAATATAACTAGCAGAAAAGTGAAGGTTTCAACTCATTCTCCACTAGTCTATTACCAAGTTTCTTGAAGGCTGCAAAAAGTCTCCTGGTGGGAAGTGATTTAGAGACATAGTAGAGTTAACCTTTACTGTATTTACCAGTAAAATACAACCTACTGCATGAAGAATCTCTGTTGGGGATGAGTTATTTTTACAAAAAGCTATTGTGATCAACTACATTTTAGTAACTTCAAGGCTCTTAGAAACAAGAAGATCAATTGGGAACCTTAACAAAATTTAACAAAGAGAGGGCACTGGTGAGACTGGTCATTGTGGGAAAGGAGAAGGTGTATCTAATGACATTATGGAGGAAAAGTTAGTAGAATTTTGTGGGTGATACAGGAGTCAAAGACAATGGAAGTTTTGAAGGAAGTCTGAAGATGAGTCAATTTAGAGGACAATACCTTAAGGTTTAAGTAACTTGAAATTATCTTAATGCTACAACAATTAGAAATGTTCTGCAATGTAGCAATAGATAACAATTCAGGAATATTAGAGATTGACATTTAGATCTCATATGAACATAGGTAATAACTGAAGCTCCAAAGACATCTGAGTTCTGAAGAAAATAATTGAAGAGGAAAAAAGAAAATAAGACACAGGCCCAAACTTGGAGATACTCTCATATTGGGGGGATGGGCAGGAAAGAATTATGACAGAGACAGACAGCTATTTCACTGGAAGAAAAACTAGGATAATGTATTCGTAAAGAAATAGAGTTAAGGATAAGGAGGTTTCACAAAAGAATGAAGTCAGATTTTCATGCATATTAAGGAAAAACTGTGTGGTATGTAAAGACAAGAGATAAAGGTAACATTCAATTTGCTAATTGCAAATTAAATCGTACTTAACATACTCAAAAACAGAATAGAAAATTTAATCTACTGAAGGAGCAGCTTCAATAAACCTGATTTTCTGTAAGTCAACAGAGTTGAGATAACAACATAAGAATTTGTGCTTTTCTAAAACATTGATTTCTCAGCAAACTAATTTTAAAATCCATTATGTTCTGAAAGCCCTCTAAAGTAATATAAAAAGAAGACACAATATTTTGAATGGATATATGAAATGATATTATTTCAAAATCATCAGCTTCCTACCAGGAATCATTCATTCTCTGTGATGAAAACTCCTCTTGGGTTTTATCCAAATAAAATAAATTATAACTATAAATGCACCAGTCATTGTGTTACTTTTTCCTACTCAAAAACCCATTTTTCATCCTGACATTCATTATAATAAAATTTAGAGCATTATATTTATGTTTTAATACATTACTTACCAGGGTGGTAAAGATATAATGATAATATTCTGTCATCATTCCCATAGCTAAGGCCTACGAAGTAAAAAATAAAAATAAATATAAAATATTAATATTAAAGGTACACATTATATGAAATACATTATGTCAATAAGACAACTGAGATCTAAATAGTAGGATGTAATAAAGAATCTACACTATTCAGATGACATTAAAATTGGGTCAAACTAAACATTTTCTCCATAGTTAAAGAAGATTAGTGGTTACTAAAGGAATTTCTGAACCAATTCTCTTGATACAAAAGCTATTAGTTGAATGCTGCTGTTGTAAAGCTGATGGTTTTACATATTAAAGGAGACATTACATTTGAAAGAAACCTGAAATTAGTATATCTTAGTTCATTATATTTGTAATGTCTCCACTACAAATACCTTAATAAGGAGCACTTTATTTTGTTGAACAGTATTACTCAATTAGGAAAGCAGTGCTGCAAAGTACTATGCCAACAGAAATTTTTTGTAAGAGACATTTTAGAGACGTTTTCTTAGTGTTAAGAAAGCAAATGTAAATCATCACTGTACATATACAAGAATTTTTAAAAATGTTTTATTACTACACCAATTGAAAATTACTATGTTTTATTTCTTTCTTCTACATTCCTCATCAATTTTAGACTATCAATTTTAAAACAAGGATTTTTGGATTAGAACTTCCAGTCATAAGCAGTATCAATTTCCTCTTTGAAAATAGAGGATGCTTTTGAAATAGCTGTTTATCAATGAACAGTAGTTGGTAATGATAGTTGAAAAGTGATGCATTTATGAGCTAAATGAAGAGCTCTTAGTAGGGAACAAGCATCCTCAGGTGCATCTAATGCTCTTCCACAAACTACTAACCACACAAATTGGTTTACTAAGTAATCTACATGCCTGTGTATTCCATGCTCATAGGTAGGTATTAACCAATTAGCTAGAATAAAATTTGTATTTCTACATTAGCTGTTCACTTAAGAAAAGATAGATGTTTGTGAAAATTTTTGAGACATATAAAATGTAGTTTTTAAAGGAGAGAAACGTTTGTTAATAAAATGTGGCATCAAAGAATTGAACAGAGGAAAGGAATTTAGGAAGTGTGATATTATGATTTATAATAAGAAATATGTATTTGATCTTCATTCCCCACTTCAGGCAAAAGGTTCCAGAAACCCTTGGAATTTCCTAAACAATAAGAGCAATGGAGCATCTTCTGTTATAACATTTAGTCTCTTTTCTTTACTTCCTGAAATTGCTCCAGAGCCACAAAGGTGAAATGAGTGTCTTGTTATTATTCTCAATAAGCCCCTTTCAACCACAACTGAGTTTATGTGAAGTAAGCTGACTTTAGGAGATTCCTTAAAGGTGAAGGGGAAGCTGGTTGTCAGGGAAACGAACCCTGGGATTAGAAGGTAGGAACTTTCAGTCCCACTCCCTGACCCCCTGGGAATGGAGAGGGGCTGGAGACTGAATTCAGTCGCCTACAGCCAGTGATTTAATCAGTCTTGCCTAAGGACTGAAACTTCCATAGAAACCCAAAAGGAGAAGATCTGGAGAGCTTCCAGGCTGGTGAACACATGGAGATGTGAGGAGAATAGCTTTCTCAGAGAGGACATGGAAGCTCCTTGCCCTTTTCCCATATCTTGCCCTATGCCTCTCTTCTATTTGCTATTCCTCAGTTATATCCTTTCATCATAAACTGGTAATCTAGGAAGTAAAATGTATCTCTGAGTTCTGTGAGCTGCTCTAGCAAATTAACCAAACCTAAGGAGAGCATTGTGGGAACCTCCAGTCAATAGCTGATGGGTCAAGAGCACAGGTGATAATCTGGATCTGTGACTGGCATCTGAGGTAGGGGTATGGATGGAAACACAGTCTTGTAGGACTAAGCCCTTAATCTGTGGAATCTGATGCTATCTCGAGATAGACAGTTGAATTGAGTTGGATCCTAGGACAATTAGCTGGTATAAAGCATTACTGATGGTGTGGGGAACCCCTACTCCACACACACACAGCTGAACTGGATACGTAACCCTTAGAAACCAGATAATATTTTCTAAATGAAGAAAAATTATATGAGCCAATAACACTGAAGAAATTTGCATCTTAAGAAAAATAAGAGAAATTTTCTTTTATTAAATAAAAATTTGCAAGATTATCTTTGTAGAAGGTATCCATTGTTCCTGATAGATATGTATTAAAGGTTTCCCAACTTCAGAACTGCTCAGTGACAGCTCAGCATTATTTTTTATTTTGTCAATATTTTTTATTTTGTCAACTTAATAGGCATAGGAAAAAAGATAACTGAAAGAAATAGTAATTCAGATGTATAACTGTAAATAACACATAATGCTTAAGAAGTGTTAGGTACTATTCAAAGTACATTGCACATTTTAATCAATTTAAGCCTCATTAAAAACCCCATGAGGTAGGTCCTATTATTATACTTATTTTACAGGTGAAGAAACCAAGACATGCCAAGAATGAATAAATTAGCCAACAAGCTGAGACTGTGAGTAAAGATGAACTCCAGGTCTCTAACTCTTGGAATTTGGATATAGAGCATAATCTATGCCTTTTATAAAGTGGCATATTTTATAATCCCAGAGATATAGACCCATTTTAGGATCTATGCATTCTCAAATTTTTGCCTGTTTCTTTCTTGATAATTTGAAAACCTGGGACTCTCAGGCCAGTATGGTGTTTTGGAGGTGAGGATAGGAGTGGGTTAAGGAGATGGAGGTGGGAGGCCAGTTTGCTTCTGACGTGGGTGTTCTACACCAGCTCCAGGTTTCTTCCTCATCACCTTGAGAGGAAGTACATAAGGGAAAAGTGAGGGCCCTGTGTGCCTTGTATTGACCTCCCTTTACCCTGTGATTCTGAAAACCAAAGGCAGTTATAGACTATGGAGTATGATCTAGGTAGAGAAGTTTAGTTATTTTTGATTGTACCCAGACTCTGACCTTAACAAAAGTGAACAACTGGGCTACTCTCTTGAAAGTCTCGCTAATAATTCCCAATGTGATTTTAAAAAAGAACTTGTTCTGGGCCTTCTTTTAATTATAGAATTTATGTCTGGCTACTGCTTTTGAATGAACTCTATACATACTTCAAACCACATTAAAAAGAACAAAATTATCTTCTTATATATAAGTAAGAGTGGCCACAAGAGAAAATTACTTGTGCCATGTTATCCGCCTGGAAAGAAATACCACAGATTATTTTTTTCCAAAATCAAAATATTGTTAGAATTTCTCAACACTTAACTGATACAGTGTTAACAATGCCACGTGACAAATTAACACAAGCAGTTATGCAGACATATCATTTTCAATCAGTTTATCCTTCAGCTTATATCTTGAAGACACACTGCTGAAAGTTAACAATTGGAGGGGTAGACTTTATACATATTTCTGAAATTTTGATTTTCTTTTACTTCTCGCTGCTATAGCAGTTTATTTGCACTTGCTTTTACATTTTTCCAGGCTAAAAAATTTGACTTCACACGCTCTAATGCAGACTTTAAAGTTCTTGGTTGCTGTTTTTATCTGTGATAGAATGTCCTTGTGAGATTTTACCACACAGCCATAGAAGATTCTCTCTGACAAATCTGGGTAGAGGTGGAATCTTTTGCTATTGAGGTGTGTACAGCAAAGAATGCCCTCAATCTGCCTCAGAGGAAATCTAGCCAAGCCCACGCTCCATTCACTCTTAAAGTTTTCAGGTAGGAAAACTTCAAATTTGCTGTTGCTTGATATCTAGTAAGAGCTCAGTTAGTTTAAATAAAAGAAACGAACAAACAAGGCCAACCTGATAAATCCATCCCTTTTCTAGATACTCCTAATATCTGCTCTTGGATTAAAAGCGCATTTATGCCTGCTCTTCAACTCTTAAGCCATTTATTTGGAATTCCATCGTTAGTCAATACTGAAGAATCTCAGAAAACTTTCATAAATCATAAAATTGAGTCCCATTAAATATGCTAGACTAACTGAGATCCAAATATGGGACAAATGACCTCTGGGAGGGGGTAAATTAAAAAAAAATACCACCATATATGTGATCTGCCAGTGTTACAGGATCTAAAAGCATGCATTCTGTGTAATAATGTTCATCTGGCTTCATCTTAACTTTTATATTTTCATTTTTCCTTTGTTCTGATTTTTCATCTACTAATCTTGCTAAAATTATACAACTTTTTCTGTTGTATATATTTTAAATACTATTTTAATTGTTTTCATTTTGCAAACATCAGGTTACACATCAGAAAACAAGTACAGAACAATGGATATAACAACTAGAAGACAGTATGGAAATTCTGTTCTTAAAGGTGATGGATATTCTCAACTTTCAGGTAGCAAAATAAGTCAGTCTTGTCTAGAGACAAGACAATTGATCATTCATATACTTCTTAGAAGCTTAGAGAAAGCCTAATAGATGACAAATAGTACAGCACCACTCACTCCAGGCATAAAGGAAAGGTATCCTTTCCAAGTCTGTGTATCTCAAATGTGATTAAAAATTGTTTTGTATTAAATGAAAAATAAATGCCTACCCTAGATTCTAGTGCTTCCTCTATCACATCATTTTTTTCCAAAAAAAAACCCCAAACAACAATTGCCTCCTTATATTCTTTATTACCCAAATATAACACCAGAGCAATTTCCCAAATCCAATTAAATATTCTACTTTAGTGAAGCCAATATTCATCTTGGAAGATGGGACAAACATCTGCTTAACAAACTAACCATGTTATAACAGGCATTTATTGTTGGTAGTTATATTTTGTGGGATATAGTTTGGCATCTGAATC